GATAGAAAAGTCAGAGGCGCCAAGGGGATGTTGAGAAACTACTGCAGTTACCCCCCTACCCCAGTTTCTAACTCTCAGAGATGGTGGAGGGCGAGGAGTATAATCTTTTCTGTGCTATTTTGTTCACTTCAAAAGCCAGAATTTTGTAACTGGCAGAGACATTTCCATTACATCAAAAACAACAAAACACCTAGAAATAAACCTAACCAAGGAGATTACCTATAGTCTGAAAACCGAAATGAAACAAAGAAATGGAAAGATTTCTTGTGCTCTTGGATTGGAAGAATCAACACTATCAAGATGGCCACTCTACCCAGAGGGACCCCCATCAAAATACTCCCAACACTCCTCACAGAAGTAGAGCAAACAATTCCAAAATTTACAAGGAACCACAAAAGACCCTGAACAGCCAAAGCAATCTTTTGTAGGTCTCTTCTTTTTTTCTCTTTCTTCTTTTTGTTCTCTTTTCTTATGGTTTGATGACTAGAGAAGGTTCTTTAACATCTGTTTTAAAGCTGGTTTCGTGGTGCTGAAATCTTTTAGTTTTTTTAATCTGTGAAGCTTTTGATTTCTCCATCAAGTCTGAACGAGAGCCTTGCTGGATAGAGTATTCTTGGTTGTAAGTTTCCCCCTTTCATTACTTTAAATATATCGTGCCACTCCCTTCTGGCCTGTAGAGTTTCTGCTGAAAAATCAGCTGATAACCTTATGGGAGTTCCCTTGTATGCTATTTGTTGCTTTTCTTTTGCTAATTTTAATATTAAAATTAATACTAAATTAGTTTCTGTGCTATTTTTGACCCTACTTTTAACTCTGCTCCTGGTGAAGCATCCTGCCTTCTCCAACAGGCCAGGGCCTCTGTCTGTCTCCCTACACAGGAAACATAACCTGTGGGCCCAGTGCAAAAAGAAAATATGGGGCCCTAATTCACAAATTATGAATGTCAGGATGGTGACAGCAGAATGTTAAACCAAGCACAGGGCCCTTCTAAGCAGGATGCCCTGTGTGACAGCTACAAATACCCCCACATAAAATATACCCACAAAGTTGGTCTGTCCCCAGGCCTCAGGCTCAGGTAGGGAACTGATGGCAGGAGGGAGGGGACTATGACTAACTTTCCTAGAAGCTGTGAGGTCAGGATTGGGTAATTGTCCTCTGCCTGAGGCACCAAAATGTCAAGCAGATAAGACCAGGTCTCTATCCCACTCCCTATGGGCTGCAGGGGTGACTTCCGTCCGGAAGGTGGGGGGCAGGGGTGGGGGTGTCGCCGGATCCGCTAGGAAGGATTTCAGGCTGCTGCCAGTCCTAGGAGCTGAGCCTCAAATTAGCCAATCAGCGGTGCCCCCTCTTACCCTCTCTTTCTGAGGCCTGGGGACCCCATCCTGGCGGGCTCTGGTGAACGTGTAGCGTGTTAGGAAGGTGATCTAGAATTTGAAACTTGGGAATTATTCAGCTGGATGTTAGTGGACCAGGAAATCAGGTGTTCAGAGCATTCTTCCCTCTCTCCCTCCCTTTTCCTGCTTTGGCATCATTTCCCCACTCAGGATCATCAGAATTTCAATGATCCTGTCTCTGCTTGGCGTCCTCACACCTCTCACCCTCCCTTCTTGGCCCTTTTCAAGGGCTTTTCCTCCATCCCAGTAAAGAAAGGGCTAATGTCCCTAGGGGTTTGCCAATCGCATCCGGTGCCCATCATCTGGGAGCTGGTGGCCTTACAGAGTGAGGACTGGCCTGGTGAGGCCCCAGTTTGGTGTCAGCGAGGAGATACCATGTTGCAAAGATGAAATGCTGTCAAGAGGCTGCTGGACGTGCTCTGAGCTGAACCAGTAACAACATCTGGTGCTCTCCTTTTGTGGTTAAAAGGTTCAGGGGTCTAGGGTAGAGGTGGAGGTGGGTGGCTCAGATGACTTCAGTGACCCACTCTCACAACAGCATTTTTGTCCTCAACAAGGACTTACTATATAGCACCGAGAACTATATTCCATTTCTTGTAATAACATAGAAAAGAATTTGAAAGTAAAATATATGTATGTATGTGTGTATATGTATATATGTGTGTATATGTATATATATGTGTATATGTATAGCTGAATCACTTTGCTGTACACCCGAAACTAACATTGTAAATCAACTACACGTCAATAAAAAAATTTTAAAATATGTATAATTCTTGGAGGAGGGTATAGCTAAAGTGGTAGAGCACATGCTTAACATGCACGAGGTCCTGGGTTCAATCCCCAGTACCTCCTCTAAACATATAGAAATAAACCTAATTACCAGCCCCCACCAAAAAAAAAAAAAAACTAAGAAAAAAGGAAACAGAAGAACTTTTTTTAAAAAAGGAAAAATATTACACAAACAAACAAAAAATCATTCTCATCCTTTGAACTTGCTAATGTGAGGGAAGAAATGCTATCGCCGGGGGCCAAAATACTAATTTCTGGAAATGGAAGCTGAGATTGCCCTCAGCCGTTGGAGGCCTCCTTTTGGAACTAGGAAAACAGACAGAAAAGGGGGCCGGAGTGTTGGGCCGATCACTGACCCTGAGGCTCAGGGTCCTATGAGTGTTACCATATCTTGGGGGTTCCAGGAAGGTATGGGTGGAGCCAAGAGAACCCCTGGGCTCCATGCCCTGAGTAAAGGTGTAAGTAGATAAGGTAGGGGGGTCCCTGGAGGAAAAAAACAGTCATGGCTTTCTTGACATAAGGAAGCCATTTTTTGCCTAAGCCATTTTGTGATCTAAGCCTGGCCACAGTGCGTCTTTGTAGGTTTCGGTAATTAATGATCTTAAGGGAACAAAAGAATGCAAAAGCAAAGGACTGTTATCAGCAAGAGAAGTAACTCAGCTGTGAACACTCCCAGTTCTTTTCACTGGTAAAGATTAGCCTGAAGCACTAACTCAACCACAGGATCAACCGGAATCTAAGGGATGATGGTGTGGATCTTTTCTGACTCTCGTGACTTTAATCAGCTAAAGCTTGGACTGTGTCAATCTCAATTCTATGCCGAATTCTCTTCTGCTCAACCCCTTCATGAATATATATATAAATATAGCCTAAGCCCTTTCATGAATATGCGTGCACCCTTAGCTTAAAACTTCCCCAGTTTTGGTGTTTGGAGAGACACTGCTTTGGGAAAGATCCCCAGTTTTCTCCTTTCTTGCTGCCAAGTAATAAGTCCTTTCTTCTCTGGCTCTTTGACTTGGTTGTGTCTTTTGGCTTGAGACCCACTAAGAGGCGAACCCCGTGTTTCTGGTAGCAAAGGTAAACAGAAGAAACTACTTACTGCTCTACCTGGAGACCTAATAAGCGTTCAGAGTCATCAGGGATGCAGGTTGGACTCAGCCCCCTGGACCAAGAATGCCAACCAAGAGGGAAGCCACAGCCCATGACCTACACCCATATGACTATAGCCCGCCCCCCCCCATCTGTTTTTCCTTTCTTACTGCTGGAAACATATGGAGTATTTACACCTCCCCATTTAAAATAATCAGAAGTATCATATTTAAATGTTTTCTCCTCATGCCTCTTCTTTCCCTTCTCTTGAGCGGAATGTATTGGGGTGGCTGAGTTTATTTGACATTGCAGAATGGTGAAGTGGGGTTACAATGGAATTGGGAAAGGAGTGGACAGTCTCTGGGAGATCCTGGATTCTGACCAGTGGCCCAGGCCATGCCCTGGGACTGGGACCCACAGGAGAGGGGCTGAGTTTGCAGCTCCGGGTCAGATCAGTGTATTTGGTTATTAGGTTTGTTTTCAGGTACTTGCTTTCAATCCTCTCTCTTCCCCGAACCAAGCCAGAAACTTGGCCTCCATCCTCGAACACTCCCTGACCCTCCCCATCACTCAATGAGATGTCAAGATCTGAAAATTTGATTTCCCAAAGAACTCTTCACCCCACCTCCCCTTGTAGACTTACAGCCACTGCCCTAATCTCCCTCTCCTTGGATCTCACAATCACCTCCTTCACTGTCTCTCTGCCTCCACACTTTCCCCTTTCATTCTTGTCAAAAACCAATTCAAACGCAAACATTACCAGCTCATTCCCAGCAGATCAGGTTGTTTGATATTGCCAACAAGACCCTGCTGATCATCTCCAGCCCCGCCTCTCTACCAGCAGGTCCGTTTGTGGCTCCTTTAGACAGTAATCTTGCTAAAAAGTCCCAAGAGTTACTCTTTTCCATCATTGGTCCCTTAGCAGGATCCAGCCTCCCTTGTGTTCATCAAAGCCTGACCTTCTGCTGCTAAAATACCTTCACAGGCTTCCTAGTGTAATGAGGGTGAAAGAGGAAGTTCTTGCCTGAGCTCATAGCAAGGTCCTTTAAGACTTGACCCCACCTTCCTCTCCAGTCCCAGGTTTTACAGGGTCTGTCCTCACTCCCCGCTCTGCCCCCAGCACTGGCCTGCAACAGTTCACTTTGACCTTGTTCATTGCAGTGAATGTCTGGCTGCCATGTGTTCCTCCAGCACCCTGGATGTCCCTTTCCCCACAGTGGCACTTCCTGATTTAATTGCAAACTCTGCCTCATGTTTCTCTGCCAAATTCCATGAAAATAGGAGCCACGTGAGTTCTGCTCACTCTTCTACCCCAGCCCAGCATGCAACAGACACTCAGTAATATTAAAGAAATCATGACATCATGACTTTACAAATTATTTTTGTCATCAGGCCATCTGGGGTGATCTAAATGACCAGGAAGACTCTCACATGGGGTGGGGAAAGAGGACGCCCCAACTCCTGTCCTCAACCCAACTACTCAGAATGGGAATGCTAATTCCTGGGAAGAGAGTGAAGGGAGGAGAGGGAGGGGTTCTAGGGAGGAGCAACTCTTTCCGAAGGACCGGCCTCTAGGTTCTTAGGGAATTGCAGTCTTTTCAGACCCTACACGATGCCAACACTGAACCAGAGAAGCTCTCCTGGAGTGTTTCCAAGTGGGGTCAGCCATGATCCAGTGGGTGGCGGAGCTAATGGGAGGAAAGAGTTCAAAGCGGGACCAGGGAATGGATTCGCAATGTCTGCAGCCAGGCATCTTTACTCATTCTGGGACAAGAAGGTGAACATCCACTGGTTCCCTGGGCATCCCAGGGTCCTGGGGCCTGGGTGAGGAACAGGGCTGAGAGGGACAAGCATTCCGGATGAGGGGCATCAGCATCATCAGCTAATCATACAACCGCCTTTCTCCTTGAAGGGATTCTTGTCCTCAGGGATGCCTTTGAGAAGAGGGTCGTTTCCTGCTTCCGCCTCCACGTAATCCTTGATTTCCTTTCCCGTTTTGGAAATCTGCGAGAAAGCAGATGTGGTTCTAGCCCTTGTCTGTTGCTCAGGGTTCGTGATTGGGTCAGTCCTAAGAAAACCAACTTCTGGGCTGGGTGGGGATGGAGGACGGTGGGAGAAAGATGAAAGGGACGGGCAGTGTGAGACTGATGTGAGTTCCTTGACCAGAACCACAAAGCCTAACTCTGACCTGTTTGGCCAGGCCCAGCCAAGAGACAGGGCTGGACACATTGAGCCCTCCCGGCTCCGAGGCTCTCTCCTTCGCACCTCCGTAGGGTCAACTCAGCCTCTTTCCACACTCAGCTTGTTCCAGAGGCACCTCCTGCTCTTTCTACTGCCCTGGAGAAGTCCCACCACCCTGCGGTCCATCACTTCCTCCTTCGCATCCCGGCTCCATGAGGACCAGAAAGGGATGCAGAAGAGGGAGCAGGGAAGGGAAGAGGAGGCTCACCAGAGCTCGAGGGTTCTTCACTTCCTTCTTCAGCTGCTCCACCTCCATCTTCAAGATCTCCTTCTCACTGAGCTCCTGGGCCATCCTGCCCTGGAGAGACCTGGTCCTGGAAAGGATTCCATAGCCAGGATGGCAAATCCCCTGGGCTCCTCCGGCTCCCTCCTTTGCCCTCTCCACACCTCAACTTCTACCCCTTTCCCTGCTGTGCCCCTCAGTTCAGGCCCCTCATCGCTCACCATATATTCACTGCATCCTCCCCACCCACTCCCCATCATGAGTCTAGGCTCAGGAGGAGAGGACATTCCCAGTCTGATGGGGGAGTCACAATCTTTGCCCTTGGATAAGGACATTTCTATGGAGGAAACGGGAATCAGAGCCTGGAGAAGGGAGAGACGGGTGGAAGATTTGGGAAGCAAAGTTATTATTCCATCTAATGATACAGATACAAGTTTTCAGGAAACTCCAGGTCCTGTCAGGGTAGAGAATACCCTAGTGGTTAAGAGAAGAGTCTGCCAGACTCCAACTCTGATCCCCACTCTGCTGTTTCCTTAGGCAAGCCGCTCATCCTACTTAAGCCTTAGTTTCCCCATCTGCAAAATGGGTTTAATAATGGTCCCTACCTTATGTGATTAAGTAAGGACTAAGAAAATAATACATATCAAGTATTTTCATACACTGCCTGGCACATAATGAGCACTTAATACATTTATCATCATCATCATCACCATCACTACAGGGTTATCAGGAAGGCCTCCCTGGTGCCTAACCTCAATAGTGCTAATACTAGATCCCAGCCCAGTGCAACTTCAGCCCCTCTCACCTGCCAAGGAAGAGCGTGAACTTCAAGTCACTTGTCCCCGACGCAGACAAGATGGAGTTTGAGCCTCCTAGCTCCTCATGAGCTGAAAATCTTTGGATAAAGCAGATGGTCTGGAAGCCCAAATCTCTGATGCCTAAGCTGATCATAGGCTCAAGGTTCTAAGCTCATCCAGTGGCCTGAGCCTCCAAGATTGCCAGCCACTGCAGGCACCCTGCCCCTGGTCCCAGCCCCACTTCCTCAGTGACCTCTCTGGCCTAGAGCCCGTTTCCCCAGTTCTCACCCTCCAGACCTACGTGCTCCCCTCCCTCTTCCATCTTCTTAGCCAGGCCCTCTCCTCCTCTACCCCTGAGTCTGCTCTGAGGCTCTTCTTCCCCATGAGGCAAGTCCTAGACCAGCTCCGCATTTCCCTCACCTGAGAAGCCTTTGCGACCCCCATTGGAACAGGTTCTCCTAGATCAGTCCTCACTCACTTATTCAATAAAAATGGACTCACTTGGGCTGCTCTGCCAGCCAGCACTTGGGGCCAGGGCCATCTCTAACACCTGTGTCCAGGCTCTTTTGCTTCCATTACTTCCTCTGAGCCCTGCTTGTGGGTCTCTCTCAGCCATCCCTGAGCCCACATCCTGATCGCTCTCTCATTCTCCTCCCAGGTCCACCCAAGGGCTATGTCATTTACCAGTCACTGAGCTCCTGCTCAGACTGACGCCTGTCCAATGACAAGGGACCCCCTTGAGGAGCAGATATTAAGGGACCACTGTGGTCAGCAAGGGAGCCTCCTTTTTTTCTGCATCTACAATGACAGACACCCCAGTGGGAGGGGTGGGGAGGAAGCCCAGAGCCCATCCTAAGTGCTTCTGCTCCAGGATCCAAGTCCCACTCACTGTGAGCTCTAAGAATTCAAGATCAGGACAGGACCCTGGAGGTCATCAAGTCCAATTCCGCCGTGAATGTAGGAAATGGAGAACATACCTCCCGAGGCTGACTCAGCGCTCTGTCCACCACTGCCTCCTAAGACCGACCAGTTAATCTGGAATTTAAACCCGTTGCTTCTGAAAGTCACGTCCTTCCTGTTGTCTAATCTGAGTCCCTCACGCTACACTTGGTCAATTTCATCCTGTCCTGCCTCCAGCAGGCACAGAGCGTGTGTGCCAGATCTTCATCACAGGTAACCCTTCAGAGAATTGATAACACTTCTCAGGGGATCTCTGGTTGTATCGTCCCGATGTCCGGCCTGATTCCCCTCGCTGCCACATCAGCTGTTTGCCATTGTTGCTGCACTGCCACCCTCCAGCCTCCCGACATGACCGGTCTCCATATCCTCTCCACCCTCCAGTCCCCTGTCTCTTGGTGACTCATCCCCAAGCTTCCCAAGGAAGCCCCCACCCTCTGCCCTTTCCTCCGCTTCCATGAGTGGAAAATCCATCTCCACCCCCCAGAGCAGGCCAGCCCCCTTCCTCCTCAGTCTCCCATCCCAGCCCCCACCGCGGTTTCCTCTCCAGGCCCAGGGAGCCATCACAGCCGCCCCGACCTTGGCTTCCTCTGCTGGGAGGGATTGGGGGGCTGGGCCCCCAAAAGGGGCCCCTGGCTTCCCCCTTCGTCTGGGCAGGGGGCAGACAGGCACAGGCCCAGGGAGTGGGGGCTAACTTCCTCTTGTCCCGGATAGAGCATGCCTGCCCCTCGCAAGCGGGCTTGGGACTCTCACGCAGAGGAAACCAAAAGCAGTGAGAGGGAGGGAAGCGGAGCGACCAATCAAGGGCAGGGTGAGGCGCCAAACCAGCAGGCTCCCCGGGGAGCCAGTCAGAGGCCGGGGGGCGATGGCGGAGCTGCAGCAGCTGCAGGAGTTTGAGATCCCCACGGGCCGGGAGGCTCTGCGGGGCAACCACAGCGCCCTGCTGCGAGTGGCCGACTACTGCGAGGACAACTACGTGCAGGTAGGCGCAGCGGGCGCGTCCCCGGCACCCCGGCCGCTGCAGGGGCCCGGAGCCCATCCTGACAGGTGCTTGGCCTGGGCCTTGGCTGAGATATCCTCCCACCCCAGGTTGGCTTCAACCAAGTCCCCCAAACTTTAAGGCTCCCCAAGCCCCCAAGGTACCCTGTCTCTCTCCCAGAGCCTCAGAGATGCCCAGGCAGGCATCCTGCTACAGGCCTTACCCTTGGTTCGTCTCCCTTCTCTTGTTCAGTCCAGAGGCCCAAAGACTTATCCTCATACACAGGTTGGCGCCATCATTCCATGTTCAGGCTGGCACTAGGTGAGACTTCAGAGGAACTTCCCAAACATTGCAGTGAACTTGAGATGCACAGGGAAAGTTCTTCCCCTGGTATCTGAGGAGAGCAGGGAGATGTCAGACTAGGCTGGGTTAATGAGACGGGGTCTGACTCAGAGGCAGAGGCAGAGGCAGAGGCAGAGGCACGGACAATATGACTGCTGGGAGCAGGCTACCAGCAAAAGACAAGCATGGTGGCATTTTAGAACAGTTCTCTAAATTGTGGGGGTGTCCCAGGGCCACAAGTAGATGCCTGGATGAACGGAAAAGGGGCAAAGGAAACCAGACAATGATCGAGCACATCTGTTACTTGAACCCTCATAACCACCTTGTGAGAAGAGTATCATTATTCCTATTTTATAGATGATAAAACAGCAATTCAGGGAGGCAAGGTGACTTGTCAACTTGTCAAGGTCACACGGCTCAGCTACAGTAGAAGTGACATCAGCCCAGGCCTCCTGACTTCTGAAGCAAAGCCCTCTCCTCTCTGCCTTCCCCTCCCTGACACGCTGCATGATTTTAAGAGAGTTTATTTGCATTGGGACCTCCCAGCTCCGCAGGAGTGTTGAAAAATAAATAAATAAATAAAAGGAGCAAGGGCTTATGGGAAAATGGCAGATTAAAGAGAGTCAATGGTAACAACAGTTAAGACGCTCTGCACCCTGTAAATGGAAAGTAAACTTTAAAAACTGTATTAAACATTTTTTTAAGTAAAAAAAAAAGCCAGATGCTCTGCACCTTTACTGCCCTCACTGCCTCCTTCAGTCCTCAGCCCAGTCTGTGAGGTGAGAACCACTCCCTCTTCACAACCAGGAGGCTGAGTTCAGAAAGGTTAACTCACTCTCCCGAAGTCTCCAAGCTAGTGGGGCGTGAAAGTTAACTCTGACTCCAGAGCCCACCCCGACACCTCTAGTTGAAAATGCTACCCGGGGTGTAGATGCTGAGTGATTAATGCGAGATATTTGCAGATGAGCTGGTAAACCAGCTCCATTCTCCAAGCGCTGAGAGGCACACTCTCATGGGCTAGGATGGGGGCCACCCTTCCCATGCCTTCAGTAACTTCTGCACACCTCGAAACACTTCCTGATGGGTTCTCATTTACACACACGCAGTGTGCACACAAGATTTGGGGGGGGGTGACAAAGACCTGAGTCCGATTGCCAACTCCTGGACCTGTGGCAAGTTGTCCCTCTGATTTTTATCCCTTCCTTCACAGTGGTCACAGGGGTTAAAGGTAATAATGTATTAAAGCATTTATACTGGTGCCTGCGCCTTAGGGCAGGACAAACGGCAGCTGTTACCACCACCACCATCATCATCATCATTCATCAGAAGGTTGAAAGACACATATAGATATTAAAAGTCAGTTCTAGCAGCCCTTGCAAAAACACCCAGAGCATCTGAAGCCCTGATCCAAGTCGAAATCCCCAGATGTCTGCTTCCTTCATGGAGAACACCAACTACCAGACCACACAACCAGTTACCTTTCCTGGCTTCTCTGAGGATCTTTGTCTGGGGAGCAAATGCCTAGGACGGGTTTGGATGACTTCTCAGAACTGGCATTAAACAAGGCCTAGTTCCCACGACCTCCCTCCCCGCCACCAACCAGGTGTCAGGAAACCTATGGGGAATGGGGGAGGCCAGGCTGGGGTCAACGGCAGTGTTCTCCGTCAGGGTCCATTGAGTTTACAGACAGGGTAATTTGCATGATGAATAAGCAGTCAGCCATGAAGATGGATGCCTGACTGTTGTCCCGCCAGACTTGACTTCAGGTCAAGACCAAAGCCAGGGGTCAGCAGGCATCCAGGCTCTGGCCTCCCAGAGCTTAGGGCCCAAGCAGACATTTTTCCTGTTTGGACTGACAGGAAAAACCCAATGATGAATTCCACATGCCAGTCCAGGGAGGGGACAGTACAGAAGAGGCCAGTTCAGAAATCTGGGTGGAGACCAAAAGAGTAGTCGCTGCTCCCTTCTGGGCCTCACCTATGAAAGGAAGGTCTTAAACTAGTATAAGACCTGCTATCCTTTCTGGTTTTAACCTCCTGGGTTGGTTTCTTTAACTTTTCGAGGCACTTGGTTACATACGCTGATGTAAATTGGATGTAAATGAGCAGCTCTTTCCAACTGTTGGAACAGAAAGGCTGGGAGGAGTACCCCAAGGGAGAAGTACTGGAGGGGCTGCCACGAGGTTCTCCATCTGCCCGTTGGCTCCAGCTTGGCTCAGGCTACAGGCCCTGAGGATCCCCTCAGGGTCCTTAGTAAGGAGACCCCAGTGTGCAGCCTTGTCAGTCAGCCCACTGGCCTCTCCCCAGCCTTGCCCTGTGGATTGGCCTCCTTCCCCTGGAGAAAGCGCAGACCAGAGCACAGCAACTCCATGTCCCACCCTGAGAGGAGGAAGCAGCCTGGGGAACCAAATGACCGGAGAAGTTTTGTGCCAGCCCCCAAGGTCTGATTTGGGACTGAAAAAAAAAAGCCTCTTCTGTCTTCAGCCACTCCCTGCCCACCCCGCTACCACTGACTGGAAGTGTGGCCCTGACCAGTGCCTGGCACAGTGCCTGGCATGCGGTAGGAAGATGCCCAGCAAGTGTTTGGGTTTGCTTGCATTCAATCCGCTAATTAACTCATGAAGGCATATTTATTAAGTACTGTCTGTGTGTTGGGCACTATCCCAGGAAAGGATACAGGATAACAGACAAGCTCATTGCCCTCACAGTACTTACATTTTCATGTTGGCGTGCGTGCATGCGTGTGGGTGGGGAAATAGATAATAAAGTACATAGATAAACAATTTCTGATAGTGTTAAGTGCTATGAAGAAAAAAGAACAGAGTAAATCTGATAGTGGAGCAATACAGTAGACTGGGGGAAATCTTAGGATGGTGAGCAACGGTTGAGAAGAGCTGAGATTTAAGGAGTCTAGAAATAAGTACAGCAAGTGCAAAGGCCCTGAGGTAGAAACAATCTTAGCTTGATCAGGAATAGAGACACAATGGCCAATGTGGCTTGAGGGGCGCGAGTGAGAGGGAGAGTGGAAGGGAGGAGGGTGGTGAGGAAAGCTGGAGCCAGCCTTGTGGGGCCCTAGATAGGCCACGGTTGGAAGTTTAGTTTATTCTTAGTGTGTTGGGAAGCTATTGGAGGGAAGGAATGAATGAAGTCACTCCTCTTGGGCCTCAGTTTCTTATCTATAAAATGGACCAGATTGTTGGTTCCCAAACACCGACTTGTAGCCTGGAGCTAAGCAGGGAGCACAGGAGTCACCTGGGGAGCTTTTAGAGGCACAGATTCTTTGGCCTCACTCCCGGGAGATTCTGGTTAGAAGGTCTGGGATGTTTGATTTTCAAGTTTGAGAATATTTTCTCCAGCCAGCACTGACTTCCTCATTCCTTTCTACTGGTCACTTTTTACCCCCGCAGAAACTCCTCAGACCATGGTAGAGCTAAATTGTCAGCTTGACTATTTGAGAAGTGTATCTTTTCCTCCCCTTGCACCCAGTCCCCAGGGCTGCAGATTCACTTTCCTGATGCCCCCTGGGTCCCTCTTTCTACAACCTCATCCTTACAGAAACCACCTCAAACATCTAAGGGTTGCTGCTTTCTGCTAATTTGGTCCCCAACTTCTCTATACCCTAGCGCATGCCATCCAGCCAGTGGGACATGCTGGCCTCAGGCCTGGGCTCCGTGTATTTCAGGCCACGGACAAGCGGAAGGCACTGGAGGAGACCATGGCCTTCACCACCCAGGCCCTGGCCAGCGTGGCCTACCAGGTGGGCAACCTGGCTGGACACACTCTGCGCATGTTGGACCTTCAGGCGGCCGCCCTGCGGCAGGTGGAAGCACGGGTGAGCACGCTGGGCCAGGTAAGAGCTGTGGGAAGGCTGCTTGCATCAGCCCCTAATTCGCATTCAGCCCCACCCAGGACATCTTCTCCAGCAAAAGTCCTTTCCCACCTTCCTCCACGTCAGTAAGCCCAAGCTCTATCACAGAAAGTTGGCACTCCCCAAGCTTTTGGAGCCTCCTTATCTCTGTGGTTATGTCTCCGTGGTGGGCCTGGCTGCCCCATCAGACGAGGACCCCCCTGAGGGCAGAACTCTTTTTTCTCTGAATTCTACCCAACACAGTAGACTCTGTTCATCACAGCGGCTGCATAGAACAGCAAGGAGGCATAGGGACCCTGTTCCCGTGTAAACACAGGCAGTGGCCTAATATGTATCCCAGACCCAGAGTGCTTGCTTGGCAAGGTCATCCTCAGCCCTGGGAGCATTGCCACTACAGCACAGTGCCCCCCACCCATCTAGCATACACACCCTCCTCCTTCCTTCCTGGATCCTTGGCCAAGGAATTGCCCCACAAACCACATGCACAGATTCAGTTACACATCGGCCTGGCTTGTGCATCACCCACATGGTCACTGTGGGTGTGTCTTTTCCTTTCACCCCAGCAGACTGGAGTTCCCACACTCTCAGCGCTTGTAAGTTTCTGCGCAGTACATTCCAAGAGGAAGTTAATTCACTCATATATTGTGCCCTATATATTGTGCCCCCAAAGGGAGAGCCGATCCAGCCACAATTCTCAGCCACCTCTACGTTATTCCCCTCTGCTCTTGAGCCAGCCCAGTCTCCTCCCAGCATCCCCAGGGATGCTGAGTTTTCTCTTTTCCTCTGGTTCCTGCTCAGCTAATAATAACCCCTGTTCTCTTCCACCAGGAAGTTGCTCCAAAGTGGCTCCATCCTCCCCTGGCAACTCTTCTCCCAAAGGCTGTGTGGCCTTGGGGACAAAACTCCCCTCACTCCTTCTCTGGACTTCACTGCCTCCCCTGGTCCCTCTCCTCACCCCAAGGTCTTAAGGGGCTGCGCTGTGCAGAGGCTGCCCCACTGTCACCTCTAACCCTGTCATGCAGATGGTGAACATGCATATGGAGAAGGTGGCCCGAAGGGAGATTGGCACCTTAGCCACTGTCAAGCGGCTGCCCCCCAGCCAGAAAATCATCGCCCCCACGAGCCTCCCTCCGCTCACACCCTACTACCGGAGACCTCTCGACTTTGGCTGCCTGGATGACATCGGCCATGGGATCAAGGTAAAGAGAGGGGCCCCTCCTCTTTCTCCACAGCCCCCAGCTTCTGCCTCGTGGCTCCCTTCTCTCTAGGCACCCAATTCTCATCCACAGCCATGTTCTTATCCCAACCTGCAGCCCCTTTCCTTCCTCACTCCCGGAAGCCATCACCCTAAGAGGCTCCCCTCTTCCCCAAGGCCTCCTTCCAGGAAGGGGCCTCCCCTCCCTGACCCGGCTCTTCCTTAAAAATTCTTCATGACCCACCCCGCTTCATAACCGACCTTTACTCTGTACTCACATGATCTGCTGAGAGTGACATGTGGGCACACCCACCCCTCCCCACTGTGGGTGCCAGCTGTGAGGGCGTGAGGGGGAGAAGGGGAGGGAGGATGTCAGGGTGTGCATGAGAATGGCTCCGCAGCGGCATGAGAACAGCAACTTCCTCTGTCTGGAGGTTTGAGGTCACTGCACTGAACAGTCACCCCAGAGCTGCTGTTGGGTGGGAAGGGGTGAGGATGCAGCCTCTCAAAGGGAGACCTGGTGGATGACTGGCATTTCCTTCACAGAATTCTGGAGAGAAGGGACAGTGTACATACCCCTAATCCCATTTTGTTGATCCCTGGTCCCCACACCCCATCATTCCAGATTAGATTAGAAGCTCCCCTGTATCTAAATGACCCTTTCATATCCTAACATACCATCCCCCCCAAAGAGAGGAAGTGCACTCCCTCCTTCAGTCACCAGCCCTCCTCATCAGTGAGTTCTTCCTATTGTCCAAATTATATTCTTTATGCTTCAGCTCAAGTCCCTTCTGTCCTGTCCCTAGTGAAGTACAGCAGAGGACATCACTCCCCGCCACCCACTCCTGGGGAAACCCTGTCGGTAACAGAGGTGCTCTCTCTCGTGGGGGTTTGCACCTGGTCCTTGCACACGCTACGTGTTCTGCTTCTCTCTGGCCGCAGCTCCCCCAAAACTAGTTCCACGGGCCTGTGAAGACGACAGGTGGGACGTTTCTAAGTCCACCTCTACCTCCTCAGCCCTGCGCTGGTGTTGAGGTTTCTCAGTTAGGGACCACCGAGCTGGGAGCTGAGCGTGCTTTGGCAGGAGGTGAGGCTCAGTCGCTGAGCCAAAGCAGAGGAAGTGGCCTTCAGACCGTGTCTGTCTGGGCCTGGGGCAGACTTGAGGCCCAGGGCGCAGGAAAGCAGAGGGGGTGGGGTGGGAGATGGGGCCTGGGAAGTGGAAGTGAGAACTTGCTGTGCCCGTCCGCCCTCTCCCTTCGAGTTCTAGTTCGCCCTGCCCCTACTTGCTCTCCGGGATTAGAGGGGCTACCGGGGGGCCCCATGGATGTCAGCCCCACCCCCTGTTCCTCCGGCAGGATCTGAGCACCCAGCTGTCGCGGACCGGCACCCTGTCTCGAAAGAGCATCAAGGCGCCTGCCACACCTTCCTCGGCCACCCTGGGGTGAGGCATCACCGCAATCGTAATCTGCCCCGCTCCATCCCAAAACTCTACGCCCCCATCCTCGCTTCAAGCCGAGCGCCAAACTTCCTCCTCCGCCAGCTGCCACCTCCCCTCGGCGCCAGCCCCAGCTCGCCGGAAGCCTTCCTTCCCCCTTGACTACATCTCTCCTCTCCACCCCCAGGAGAGCACCCCGGATCCCAGAGCTCCCGGTGGTGCCCGAAGACAAACTCTCCGCCGCGTCCTCTGTCTCCTCCCTGGCCTCGGCTGGGTGAGCCCCCAAGTCAAAGCTGGGGGGCGGTGGTGGGGGTGGGGTTGGAGAGGGGCCTCCTGCCGGTTTTCACCGTGACTACCGAGGTAGAGAGGACTCAAGATCACAGGGGCGGGGATTGGGATTGAACGGGCGGAGCCAGTTGGGGCGCTGAAGGTGACCCCCAACCTAGCCGAGCCCCCTTTTCTCTGGTCTGCAGCAGCGCCGAAGGTGTCAGTGGGGTCTCCACGACCAAGGGGCAGGCAGTACCCCCTCCTCCACCGCCTCCACCTGCTGCCGCCGAGGTCTTCCTGCCGCCCCCTCCGCTGGAGGATCTGTCCCTGCCTCCGCCAGGTAAGCAGCCCCTCCCTCTCCTCCTAGCTCAACTTTGGGGTCGTTTTCTCACCTCTTGAAACTCCTCCCCACCTCACCTGGGTCCAGTCGAGCCTACCTCAGTGAATGCTTTGCCAGGTAGAAGACATGAGAAAGCCGTGGAGGAAGTGAACGAACATAATTTAGCGCCTGCTTTATAGCAGGCCCCGGGGTGAAGTTTAGCATCCATTTTCTCACTTAAACTTAACCCTAAGAGAAATTTCACGCTCCCATTTAACAGAAGAAGCTGAGGCTGAGAGGTTAAATTAAGTGACTTGCCCAAGGCTCACCAAGCTGTATGACCACCCTACACTGTTTATGTTGCTCAGTGTTTGCTAAGCATCTACTACTTGCTAGAGGCATTGTGGGAGGACCAGGATGAATGAGGGCAGGAGGCAGGTTACGTAGAATGGGTAGATCCTGGGGCTCTGCCTTTGAACAGTGAAGGTTCTTGGGGTGAGTGGAGGGGATTGCCTGTGTCATGCTTGCAGCCCTTCTGCTTCCCCTCCCAGACCTGGAGCTGCCTCTGCCCCTGGACCTGCCCCCTCCGCCGCCCCTGGATGTAGATGACTTGGGTCTGCCACCTCCGCCCCCACCAGGCTTTGGGCCCGAGGAGCCAAGCTGGGTCCCTGATACATACTTGGAGAAAGGTACTTGACTCCTTGGGCTGAAGGGCACCCGATCCTAGGGTCAGTGTCCCGCTGCCCCCACCCCGGTCTGCTAGCCCAGAAACAGCCTCCCCTCCATCTGCAAAGGTGAACTTGTTATTTCCCCCAACAAAGAGAAGCAGCTGGCCTGATACTGAACACCTCAGCTGGGGAGGAGTCCCGGGGACTTTGGAGAAGGTATCTCCTGGCCCACCCTCCTAGTTACTCCCTAGTGTGGGCCCCTGCATCCCCATGATGGGGCAGGCAGCACATCTCACGGCACCCTCTCCTCCTGCCCTGCAGTGGTGACACTATACCCATACACCCGCCAGAAGGACAACCAACTCTCTTTCTCTGAAGGCACCATTATCTGCATCACCCGCCGCTACTCTGATGGCTGGTGTGAGGGCGTCAGCTCAGAGGGGTCTGGATTCTTCCCTGGGAACTATGTGGAGCCCAGCTGCTGACAGCCTGAGCGCTCTGGGATGCTGACCCAGGCACTCCCTTGAGCCTCCTGAGTCCCACACCAAAGCCAGCTCCACGGCCAAGGCTGGAGTAGGGCTGAACACCTCCTAGGCTGTGAGCTGTGTCTGCCCCTGCCCCCTCCATTGCAGTGGGAAGGGGTCCTGAGGAGAGAGGAGATACCCAGGGCCTGCTGCAGACAGGAAAGAACCAGAAGCCAAGAAGCTTGGTGATCTTATCCAGAGGAGCCCTGTACCATGCAGGATAGGGTTTCCAGCTGCAAGTGCCAACTTTGAATAAAACTCTGACCTTATGATTGCCCGGCAGGGCTGGGAGTCAGAGGGAATGAAAGACACCCTTAGCTTGGCTAAGGCTCCCGCTAATTAATTATTGAGCCCCCTCTGCTTGGCCCCCGCGGCCGTATCTCTCCCTTCTCCTCGGTGCTCTTTGAGCCCTCTACCCTAGACCCCTGCTCTACGACCATGGGCTGCACTGTTCTTTTGCCTGTTGGCTTGTGTTGTGTTGTCTTGGTTCTCCAAGCTGGGCACTACTCCATGAGCGGAGACTCTAACTCCCTCACTTAAATGGAGCTCTGAGAGTAGAGGGCACTTCACTCTCATCTTTCATCCCTCAGACTGCGGCGCGAGAGATCTCAGGCACCTCTTCCCCTTCGCCTCCTTTATAGCTCTGAAATACCAGAGAGGGAGGAGGGGCTTGGGTTTCGCTGGCTCTGCTTTAAAACATCATGGCTTTCTGTTCCATACGGGAGGAGAGGGGCTCAGAGGGCCCAGCCGACGGGGCGACTTTGGTGTAAGTCCCTGGTCTCTTGCTGCATAGACGAGGCTGGGGTGCGAGGAGACACTGTTGCGCGAGCTGCAAGGTCCCTGGCTGGCTGGACCCGAGCAGGACAGTGTGCTACCTCGTCCCACCACGAGGAGGTGTCTGTTCCCTCTGGCTTTTTTTCCTGTGGGGATGCTGGCGGGATGGTCAGGAGAAGGGAGGCAAGAAGAAAAGGTGTGTAGTGTGGGGTCGTGGTAGGTGAAGCAAGATCTAGGCTTGGGATCGTTGTCTGAGAAAGCCGTCTCTCTCCGCGGAAGTCCGGTGCAACTGCGGGAATTTGGGACCTGGATCCGCTTGACAGAAAACTGGGGGAGGGAGGTCATGCAGCCTAAGGCAGCAGTTAAGGCAGTGGGAGATGTTCCTTCTCTCATCTGCCAGGGGACCCCCTTCCTCCCATTTCGGAGGACAGGGGTTTTGGAAACACTGCTGCCTGCCCAGGTATGCTCACCACCCCAGTGGCGCCAGACTCCAGAACGTTATTGCAGTGGAAGTAGGGGAGGAAGCTGAGCTGGGCTAACTGCATAGATGGGGACGGCTCTGGACTCCCTCCCCCAGCCCCCAAAGGGACGAGCCTGGAATTCCGGAAATTCCCGGAGGGACATACCAAAGCGAAAGGGAAAGGGAGTAATAAAACTAGGTTTGTCTTTCCGGATCCCCAGCCCCCTCGCCCCCCTTCCCCGCCCGGGAGCCCCTGCAGGCCGCGTCCTTAGCACGTCTTCAGCACCTGTTGCAGATGGAGGCGCACGTCAGTGGCCGTTTCCCAGGGCACCACGGCGGCGCGGAAGGAGCTGGGCTCGGCCTTCTGCGCCTCCTGGATAAGGCGGTGCATGGGGTAGCCGCGGCGCGGGAAGGCCACATCGCCTCCCGCCAGCAGCCCCGTGGGGCAGAAGTCGTTGGCGCCGTCGCCCACATAGAACAGGCGCTCGAAGTGCACGCCGTCGCGGGCCCGCTCGCGCAGGTAATCGCTGAGCACCTTGTGCTTGCACATGTTGGCGGGGCAGCGCGCACAGCTGTGCGTGTGGAAGGGCCGCAGCGTCAGCAGCCCCCGCGCATCGGGCCCCGACGGGTTGCTGAAGATGCGGCGGAACAGGCCGTGGTGGCCGGCGGCGCGCAGCGCGCTCTCCACGCCGAAGGTGTTGGCGTCTGAGATGAGAATAACCTCGAAGCAGGCGCCCTGCTTGGCCACAAACTGCAGCAGCTCGCCCATGCCCGGCGACAGGGGGATGGCCTCGTAGATGGCGCGCAGGTCCCGCGGCCGCACGCCCTGCTCGCCCAGGTACTGGAAGACGCGCTGCATGTACTCGTTGTAGAAGCCCTCGCGGTAGGTGGCTCGCAGGCTCTCCGGCAGCCGCTGGCCTGGCGCGGCGCGCACGATCGAGTCGTCGCTGTTCTCGTCCACGATGGTCTCGTCAAAGTCGAAGGTCAGCAGGAAGCGCGGCGCGCTCTGCGCGGCCATCCCGCTGTCCTGGGAGCGGGGGAGAGAGGAGCAGGAGGAGGAGGAGGGAGCAAGCGAGAGGGGGCGCGGCGGGAGCCGGCCCGGGAGAGGCTGGTTAGCGGGCCACAGCCAGAGGCGCTGGCACATCCAAGACCTGAGGAGGACCCGAAGCTGGTTAAGCTGGGTAAGCAACGTCGCCGTCCCCACTCCCAGCCTTCCCTGCCCACCCGCTTGGCACCTCTTGGTTAACTGCGCTGGGATTTACCCTCAGTGGACCTTCCCCCTCCTGAGCCCAGCTATTTCTCCTACTCTCATCGGGGCCATGGGGGCTTAACAACTTGAGAGAGGGAAGAACAGCTTCCAAGGGGTCACTCCTTTGGGGGTCCCTAGACCATTCCGGGCTCTTCCAGTGACTCCACTTGTTCTTATGGATAAACGGAGGGGACTCTCTACTCCCTTCTTCCCTAACAGTCAAGGGAAACCACCCATTCACCCAACTGGAGCAGCCTCCTCATTCCCCTTTCTCAGCCATGCAGAGCCGAGAGTTTGTGGGACCATGGTGGACAATATAGGAGCCAGGCTCCCAGGAGGCCGTGTTGGCACCATCCCAGGCATGTGGACAATCAGTGCCAGGTCCTCAGGCCTGGATAGGAGCTAAGGGCCAGGTCTGGAGAGTTAAGTGCCTGGGCTTCTGCGCTGATCAGAGAACTGGATTTTAGCTCCAGGAAGAACCACGTAGGCGGAATGACCACACAAGACCCGGGCAGGCTCTCTGGGAGCTGCTTCCAGCCAGATGGCCCTGGGCAGGGGACACAGCTTCTGCAGGGAGTTTTAGGGCCCTGTGCTAACAGCTCATCACTAATCACTTGCCAATTCCCTGGGAGGAACGTGTCAGCGGGTGGGGTTTCTGCCAGAGTCCGAAGCAAGTGGGCAGCAGCAGAAGCGGTGGGGCTTGGGGAAGTAGGAGCCTCCCGAGCCAGGCCGCGCCATACCTGGGAGACAGGTAAGGGAAAGAGAGCAGCAGTGGCTGAAAAGGCAGAGGAGGGAGCAGGTAGTGTGGACATGGCTGGGGGTACGGAGGCAGGAGTGGGGAGGAAGAGAACTAGGAGGAAGTCACGCTGGGAGAGGGAGCATGGAGCTGGATGGGACAGGAAGAGTGGGGTGGGGAGTGGGGGTGGGGAGCCCCAGGAAGTGGAGACCCCGGGCTAGTCCTGTTGACAAGGAAGAGGATGGGGGACAACAAGGGAAGTGTGCGGCACAAAGGCAAGCAAATGAGAAGAGCAGAGGCCCTCTGCAGCCTGTCCCTTCCACCTTTGCTTGCCAGCAGCTTTAAGTGACAGAGCGGCGGTGAGCGGATTATGTATAGCTGCAGAGTAGCCACCGCACCGCCTTTCTTCCTCCCAGCCTCCCACCCCAATTAGTTGTGCTGGAACCACTCCTCTTTCTAGTTTCTTCCTAACCCCCTCTCCTGTGATGTTTATGGCCTGGCACACCCTGTGAAACAAGTCTGAGCTTCTTTCCTAATTTCAAAGCTGAGATTTGAACCTGGCTGTCTGCCTCTCTAATAGAACTGTCCCTTCAGCATCATCCCTAGAGTCACCCTCTGGTCTTACCAACATCTATCTGGGAGTCTCAGTGGCCTAGGATCCCTGGAGTTGAGGATATAAAGCAGCAGGGCCCTACCCCTGGGATGGAAGCTTCCAGGGATTAGTGGAGGCCCAGGAGAGGTGAGGCAGGCCTAAAAGGGGCTGGATAGGGCTCCTCCCACCCCATGATGGGAACATGGGGGTTGAGGCCTCATCCTAAGAGACCCCTGGAGGGACCCACTTACCCTAGACAGGCATCGGAGGCCAGCAACTGGAAAACACCCGCTCATTGTCAGTACATCACCCTGGGTGCCACCTGTAGGGACTGTTGGCCTTCAGCGGTCCTCCAGAGCTCCTGACAACCACACAAGGTCCATTTGAGGGTGCCAGTCAGCTGATTGTTTCCACCACTAATGCCCACTCAGTCCTATCCAAGATCCTCTCCCAGGACTCAGTAAAAACAGTGCTTCAAATAGGCGTAGCACTTAGGGATCACAAAGCCCTTGTTAAGCATCCTCTTAAAAACCCCCACGGGAGGCGGGGGTGTAGCTCAGTGGTAGAGCACGTGCTTAGCATGCACAAGGTCCTGGGTTCAATCCTCAGTACCTCCATCAATCAATAAATCAATAAACCTAATCCCCCACCGACCCCCCCCCAAGAAACTCACAAAAATAAATAAACAAAAACAAAGGGAATAAAAAATAAAAGCAATCCCCCATGATGCTAGAGGTTACAGATGATATTATTGGAGACCCAGAAAGGTTAACCAACTTGCCCAAAGGTCACCCACTGTATGTGGCAGACACAGATCTCGAGACAGATCTCCAATCCAGATCTCTGAGTCTGAGACCAATACTTTTTTCTCTAGTATGATCATTGCCCCTTTCTATGTGTATGGTACATCACAGTTTACAAATCACCTTTACTCATTCATTCTCTCACAGTTCATCACAGTCTCATGAATTCAGCAGATAAGAAGAGCTCAGAGCTTAAATAACTTGCCCAAGGCCATGCTGTTTCCATGGGGCAGAGCCTGGTGTGAACACCTGGCCACAGCCTTGGTTGCCCTCAGCCCTCAAAAGGGAAGGGGCAGATGACAAGGCTTACTGTACTGGGGTTTCTGCCAGAGTCCGAAGCAAGTGGGCAGCAGGGACCCGTGGGCAACACAGCTGGTCTGGGACAGCCTCCCTGGTGCTTTCAGAGGCTGGCAGTCAGTCAGGAACAGGTTGACATTTCTGTGGGACTTTGCTGTGTGGCTTTGGGAACAGAGTTTGGCTTTGTGGTGGCTTCACCAGTGCAGCTACAGACTGACAACTCCCAGTGCCTCCCCTCCACCGTGGGGTTAAATGAGTGACTAGTTACATCTGGGACAGACCTGGAAAGTTACTTGAGAGCCTGGAGACCAAGACAGGGAAAGGAGCAAAGGTCTGTCTGTCTGCTGCCCCCTGGTGGTGACAGTGGGTGACACTGGGTACCCTTCTGACTTTACTAAGGTGACACTTTCCCTATACCATCCCAGGACAGCAAGAAGCTGTTGCCCTCCACCAGAGACTAGGACATCCCAGGAGCAGGGCAACAGTCAGAGAGAGGGGCTCTGACACCCTCTGTTTTGAGGTACCCCATCCCTCCCCACTCCCTAACCACACATGCATTAAACCCCTTCACTAGGGATGGGATGTGGGTCTCAGCCTTTTCCTCAAGAACTTGTAATCTAGGAATTGAGAGCAGTGGTCAAAACTGAATGGGGCAGTGGGCAAAAGAGGGAGGGAGGGAGGGAGGGAGGGAAGACACAGGTCAAGAAGATGGGAGGGAAGAGGAAGGAGGTGAATGAGGTGAAGGAAGGGCACATTTGGGAGAAGAGAGGTGGGAGGGCTGTCCCCAGGCCCCATCTGGAAGGAGTTCCAGCCTTCCATAATCCTGGCTGTTACCACACGGTCCCCTCAGGGCCAGGTGAGTCCAAAGAGAAAAGGTCAGGGGATGCCACTCCCCTTGTAAAAGCAAATATGGATAGACACGTGCAGGGCAGATACAAAGATAAAAAAGGGTCTCCAGGAACCATCCAGAGGTCAACTTTCACTGCTTCGCCCTTGGTTCTTTTTCTTTTCTTTTTAAAAATTTGGTAGAATAGTCTACTGGTTTTTAATCATGAAACTTGTCATAGCAAAACACATAGTGATTTTTTTATTTTTTGCATCTACTAATAGTATTTAGGGAAATCAGTTAAACATTTATTGTTTGGTGAGTTGTTCTTGTTTCTTTTAATCCCCAGAGCAGAAAACCAGGCATTCTGGGTTTCTCTTCGAAACTGAGAAGGCCAGACTTTGACACTACCCCACAGTAGTCAGAGGGACCCTAGGTTCCACTGGAGTCTGGTTTCTGTGACATTACTCACCTCTAGCAGCTTTGTCCTGAGTGATCAAATCCTTCTGTGGACACCAGAAAGAGTCCCTCAGAGGAAAAGGGGACAAGACCTCTGAGCTTCTCCCAGGCTAGAGCAGAGAGGAGAGAAGGGTTTCATTGGGTGGGCAGGGAGCCCAGATTTCAGTGCCACCTAAGCAGTGACTGCCTCTCCCAGCCCCACACCCGGCACCTTTTACACAATGCTGTTGTATTACATCTATGGGGATGGAGTGGGAGGGCCCCTGGGGATAGGGAAGGGAAACAGTCCTGTCTTTTGCATAGGCCCTAAGTTTGAAATTCCCCTCTTGATGGGTGGAGTCCACAGGACAGTTTGAGGACAGTTTTCCCCAGAAAATGTGCAAGTTAGGGATAAGGGGCAGGGGAGCAAGGACCTACAGTAACAAGTCCTCTGCCCAAGACCAGGTTTCTTTTCATCAATCACTAGAAATCAGATTTCACTACTAGACTGAAATTCTCTCCCTCTCCAGACAGCACTCCCAACTTTACCATGGTCTCTTCCTTCCTCACCACCACCAGCAGTAAATAGGCAAAACAGAGGTTCAGAGAGGTCAAACTAATATCCTGGGAGGTCACACAGCATCAGAATCAGGAGCACAGGGGTCTCTGCTGCCTCTTGGGAAAACTGCAGCCAGAACTTACCCTATTGCCCTGGGGAATCCCTTGGGCCCTGACTGAAGCCCTGGTGCCAGTGAAGCCCTGGTGCCAGTGAGGAAGCTGGGACCGGGAGCCACCTCTGGGCTTGTCCTGCCTGGGTGGACAAACTGCGAGGGGATCCTCAATGGGCAAAGAGGTGGCAGCTGCTGGTGGAGTGGGGGGAGAGATATTTTTAGAAGTGGCTGGAAAGCAGGCACTCTGGCACACCCCCAGCTGGCGGGTGCTTCGCTCCAGTGCGGGGCGGAGGGGAGGTGGGGCGCGCAGCTCGGGAGCCAGAGGGGACTCGTGGGTGGCAGAGAGCAAGTGAGCCCAGATTCCTTCGCCTTGACCAAGTCGGGGACGGAGCGATACCCGGGCACCCGATTCCTGGCGTAAAAGGGGAACAAATTACTCCGCTACAGGGACTCCCGCACTGATAGACGCATGAAGGAGCGCTCTCAGACTCCACGCAGCCCCCACCCCACACTAGGACCCCAGACCTCCCCTACCTCGGGGAGCCCAGGACTCACGTGGGGAGCGGCGGCGGCAAAGGTCTGTCCCGGCAGAGTTTGATGTGTAAAGAGTGGGGAAAGGGGCTGGCTGAGTATTTGGAAGCGGGATGGAGCAAGGGGTGCTTACGAGGATTGGAGGGGACGCGATGTCTTATCCACCCCCGGCTTTCTGGGCTCCTGCTCACGAGTCACTCCAGTCCCAAGGGGCCCTGGATGATGCGCGTCTGGGCCGTCCTCTCCACCTGCCCCCCATCCCCCCAGGCCGCCGCTGCGTCCCCTTTAAATACCCGGGAGCCAGAGCCGGAGCCGTGGCCGGCGCTGCGGCTGCCGCAGCAGCCGGGCCCACCGCAGTCCCCGCACGTCACAAGCGGCTGTCCAATCACAGCGGTGCCGGAGGACACCAAAGGGGCGGGCCGCCGGCGGGCCACGCCTCTCGGCTGCCCCGGAGGATCCCCGAAAGCCAGCGAAGGTGGGATTCGGCACTGGAGGAAAGGTTAGGAGGGTGGAGACCGAGTGCATCCCTTCAGATGCGCTTAGGTGGGGGGGACCCTCATGCGCGCGGCTGCGGGACTCTACGTAAGTCCCGCCCATACACCTAGAGGTGCCCGGGCTGTGGACTTTCTCCACCGCAGCCTCTGGAGCTCTGATCCCTGAGATTTGCAGAAATGTATCCCCCACTTCCCCACGTCATTCCTTTCTGCGCTCCTAAGCCCGAAGGTAGGCATCGGTCGATCCAGCCCAAGAAAAGCAGTTCCTCTCCCACGTGCGCATAGCTAGGTGCCCTCTGCCCTCCAGGCGGAGTCATTGCTTCCATCTCCCTGGAACCCTTACCCGGGTTACAGATTACAGGGGATTGCCGGGAAGGGCACCCTCTCACGCGCCTACCCCGTAAACGCTGAGTTGGGGACCAAACTCTTTGCCCCTTTGCAAGAAAAGTAAAAGCCTACTTTCTCCTCCCTGAATCGTTCCTAGCCACACCCACCCCACTCTTAATGTCCTCCCACCCCGATGGTGAGAAGATTGTTTTGAGAGGAAAGAAACTTGTATTGACTGAGAACATACTACCAACCAGGCACTGTACTAGATCGCCGCATTTACAGTTGAGTGTTAACAGCAGGAGAAATTATTTGCCGAAATCAAAAGAGGCACACTTGACTCTGGGGTCACAGAGGGGCTGTGTGGATGGGGAGGAGGTGGGCACCCCCAGGCCTGGGTCTAACTTCAGTGCTCCCTAATCTTCCCTGGCTCCACTCCTGGAAGAGAGCCACCAAACGCTAAGGCCCCAAGAGATCTGGAAGCCAGTGGGGCTGGAAAACAGAGAGGGAGCGAGGGTCCGCCAGGGAGTACCCTAATCTCTGTGCCAGGGGCAAGGGGTACATTAATGAATGGACAAACGTGTGCCATGTTTCCATAGATACAAAGGGGAATGAATGTTTTGAAGTTGCAAACCTGATCCTTAAAAATCCTTGCCAGTAACTCCCTATGCCCTAACTCCTTAAACTGGTTTGCTGGTTCTGCTTCAGTCACACCCCTCTCTTCACTCCTCACTCTTTCTTCCTGCTCTCCTGCACCAGGCCCTTTCCTCCTTGGGACTATGTCCACCCCAACTACTGGGCAGGCTCAGCCTGGACATCATCTCTTGCCCTGTTACACATCCTGCCGCTCCTTTTACTATACTGATCACCTGTGTCCTTACAGCACACAGTAGGGGCTGTAAATGTAAGCAGATAGGATAGGGGGTCCCCAGAGAAAGAGAATCAGGAATGACTTTCTTGACATAAGAGAGGCCATTTTTGGCCTAAACCATTTTGTGGTCTAAGCCGTGCCACAATGCTGTCCCTGAATAGGTCTCACTTATAATTAATGATCTCAAGGAAAGCGAGGGAATGCAGGAACCAAGGAAAAGCAGTCAAGAAAAAATAGTTCAGCGATATAACAGAGCCCTAGTTCCTCCTCAAGGGATATACATAGCAATCTGTCTCGAATCTGAGTTCTGCAGGAATTAAGTCCCCCCACCCAGGTGGAGGATGGAATGATGATGAGGATGATCTTTTCTGACTTCAATGGATGAAAGCTTGAACTCTGTGGACCTTTGTGCCAACTCTATGTTGAATTCTCCTCTGCTCAAGCCCCTTTATGAATATGCATACACCAGCCCAAGCCTTTTCAAGAGAATGCATGCACCCTTACCTTAAAACTTCCCCAGATTTGCTGGTGGGAGAGACACTACACTGCTTTGGGAAAGATGCCTGGTGTTCTCCTTTGCTGCTACGAGTAACAAATCCTTTCGTCTCCCACTCTTTGGGCTTGGTTGTGCCGTTTGACACTCATCAAGAGGGAAACCCAGTTGCCAGGTAACATTTTTCCATGTGTCAATTCGCGTAATCCTCACCACTCTATGAAGTGGGTGCGTGGCTTAGTTTACTTTTGGAAAATCAAAGCAAAGAGCTGAGCTAGTGCAGAGTCACCCCACCGCTGAATGGTAGGGCTGGGCTTCCAAGCTGGTTGCCTTAATCATCACCCCACACCATCCCTTTCATTCAGTGTCTGCCATCCCACTTCTGTGGGCAATGTGAGGGCGGAGATCAGGCTTGTCTTCTTTATCAGTGTCTCCCTTGTCCCTAGCCTATAGACCCTGGCACACAGTTGGCCTTAGATGTTGGCTGTTGGATAAAACAAGTTCCCTGCTGTGTTCACCTCACTCAACAGTAGTGCTCCATTTATGTTCCCTCATTAAATCTTCAAGCCAACCGGTCAGTGAGGTATTATTACCATTTTACAACAGGGAAATTGAGATCAAATGATTTGTCCAGGGTCACATGCTCTCAGGAGGCACCAGATTTAAATCCCTTTGATGTGGTTAGCAGCCCTTTTAACCTTGTTTCCAGATTCACTGCTGGGGCTGGGGGTGGGATGGACAGAGAACTTTCTGTAGCCTCCCCCCACCCGACCAGCGAGTTCCTCCTGCAGACTCTGCCTTCCAGTGCTGAGAACCCCACAGCTCACATGGATTCCATGCAAAGCACCTTCGTGGAATAAATGTAGAAACTCCCGGTTCTCCCTGCACTAAAATTTTCAGGATACCAACCTATTTCCCTTTCAACTTTCCCCCTCTTTGTGCCTGTGAGTAAGCAAGTAGGATGATGAGCTTGTGTCTAAAGATGAGGACAGAAATGGAATGGGAATCCCACCTCCCACCTCGCCCCATCCCCATTCCTAGCAGGTTGAGGCCTCCACCCAGTGCGCTCGGACCACAGGACTTACTCCGCTCCTATAGGGTTCGCCTTAGGACTCAGGTCAGTCCATCTGGCAGAGAGCTTGCGGGGACAGGAGTCATCTGAGGTGACAGGGACAGGAGTCCCTGATGCAGGCTGCCAGGGATGGAACTCTCCAGCTGATCTTCACAGAGAGGATGTAACTCCTGCCCCAGGTCTCAGTGGTAGAGCCTGGGAGGGGCCTGGGCCAGAGGGAGGGGCAGATAACTGGAGAGGCAATTGCATTCCGGCCCTTCTGGGTGCAGGGCACCTAATCCCCACAGCAACCCTGGCAGATGGTTTTAGTATTTCCATTTTTACACATATGAAAGCAAGGGTGGAGGGTACAGCTCAGTGGTAGAGCGAGTGCTTGGCATGCACAAGGTTCAATCTCCAGCGCATCCATTAAAGGGAAAAAAAACGAGTAAGAAAGCAGAAGCTTGCGGACATTAGGAAAGCGCCTTGCCCAATGACGCTGTGGAGCAAGTGGCGGTCAGCCCAGTTGTACAGTCGGCACTTCTCTGTCTGCAGAAGGCAGAGGGCCCTTGGTGATCTGGCGACTGATGCAGGTGGACTGAGCAGAAGAAGCCACCAGGGGTGACCCTATTCAGGCAGCTCTGCCAGATCCGCGGTAGGTGCTTTGGGTCTAAGGTGTTGTCCTGGGGGAAGGAATAAATCCCTTTCCATGTCTCTCATCTCCATCCTGGACAACAATCACTAACATTGATGGAGCACTTACTGTGTGCCAAGCAGTGTTGTCAGCTTTCTTCATTCCCACATCAAGCCTATGATCTATTTGTTCTCCCATTTTACAGATGAGAAAAATGAGGCACAGAGTGGTATGTCACACAGCTAGGAAGTGGCAAAAGTAGGACTTGAACCTAGGCAGTCAGCTACGGAGCTCCATTTCGGTTTTTTGGTTAAGGGAGGTAATTAGTTTTATTTATTTAATTGTTTTTAAATGGAGGTACTGGGGATTGAACCCAGAACCTGGAGCAGGCTAAGCTTACACTCTACCACTTGAGCTATACCCTCCCCACTAGAGCTCCATTCTTAACCAGAACATCACATGACCTGTCTTAAAAGTTTCTGAAGTTTGGCGGGAGGAGGGTACAGCTCAGTGGTAGAACACATGTTTAGCATGTGTGAGGTCCTGAGTTGAATCCCCTGTACCTCCATTAAAATAAATAAATACATTAAATGATTACTCCCCCAAAAATAAAACAACATTTTTTTTAATTTAAAAAGTTTCTGCATTTTGAGTTGCCCTTTGATCCGAAGAGGCTGCAAATAGGCTGCCCTACCCACAAACCCCGGTCCTTAGAAGAATTCTGGCAGTAATGTAGATCAAGGCTCAGATCTTCAGAGCTGGGTCCCATCCATCCATAGCTATGGACGGTCTCTGCTCTCCAGATCATCACTACAATTCAGTGTTCATGGGTCTGTGCTTTCATTCATTCAACAAATACTAACTGCATCAGACAATGGGATCTATGACATTGAACAAGATGTAGACCCTACCCTCAAGGAGTTATAATTTAGAGAGAAACCCCAGACAAGGAAACAGGTCTTCCCAAAAGGATGTCAGAGAACAACCAGATGTACCCTACCTGTGACTGCCAGGGCCATCCCGTCCTGTCCTTCAGCAGGCAAGGCAGCTGGGACCAGAGGTGCCTCCAGGAAAGAGAAGAGACTCAGAATCCAGGGGTGGGGCCCCCAGAGATGCCCTGTCCTGGCCACTCTCCTTCCCTGACCCAGCCCTACTCCTGGTCTTGGCTGCTGCTAGCTTTCCCCCTCTCTTTCCCCCCTTCCCTGAGCAGCCCAGACACCCCAAAACACCCTCCTCACCCTTGCTGCTTTCTGTAAGCAAATAGGTAGACGCTCCCTGAAGAAAGAGAACCAGGCATGGCTTCCTCATCATTTTTGGCCTAAGCCATTTTGGGATCTAAGCCTGGCCACAAGGCTTGCCCTTAAACAGGTTTCAGTAATGAATGATTTTAAGGGCAGGAACAAAGGAAAAGCAGTCAAGAAACAATTGTTCAGCAGTGAAACAGAACTAGCTCTTCCTCAAGGGAAGTACCTAACAATCTGATACAAATCTTTGAGTTCTTCTGCAGGAACTAAGGCCCCCACCCAGGTGGAGGATAGAAGCTACACGCTGAGACCTCAGACTGGTGGAACCTGTGGGATGATGATGTTGAAAACCTTTTCTGACCCTCCTGATTTCAGTCCACTAAAGCTTAGACTCTGTCAATCTTTGCTCCATTCTGTGCTGAGTTCTCCTCTGCTCAGGCCTCTTCATGAATATGCATACACCTTTAGCTTAAGACGTCCCCAGTTTTGCTGGTCAGAGAGACACTGCTTTGGGAGAAATCCTCGGTGTTCTTACTTGCTGCAAATAATAAATTCTTCCTTCTCCTGCTCTTTGGCTTGGTTTTGTCTATTAGCTCGACACCCACCAAGAGGAGAACCCTGGTTTTTGGGTAACATTTCCCTCCCTGCCTTCCCCTGTCCCAGCCCCATCTTCATGTAACAGACTCACCCTGACTGAGCTGTCCATTTTACAGCAAGAATGGGGAGTAATGTGGCAGAGGGAACAGGATAGGGAAGTGAATGAGCAAACACCACTTCTGCCACCTGGCTGACACGTACAGCACGGGAAGTAGAGAAAATCATCCCCCAGGGTTCCCTCTGGGCCAGGATGGCCTTGCTGTCTGACTCACATCTCACTTGCTGTGGTATTTCCTCTCTTTCGGCTTCTAAGGCACCCTCCTTCTGTGAAATAGCTTTCAGAGTCTTGAAATCTGCCACTCCAGTCCCTTCAAGTCTTTGCCAATGTCACATGAAAGAGAACAGGGCGATTTAGTCTCTGCCTGCCTCGTGTCCATGCTTACTTCTTGCATCCCTCCCCCTCCTCACACACGTGCTCAAACCACACTGGCTTTATTTCAGACTTTCCAGTGTGCCACCCCAGGCCCTTTGCACTTGCTGTAGCTTCTTCCCAACTCATCCAGGGCCTGTCTCTGAGTTCAGGGCTCAGCTCTTATCTAAAAGGAGTTCAGGGCTCAGCTCATATGTCACTTCTGAAAGGAAATTTTTTATACCCACAACACCCCCTCCCACCCTGACATCGAGACCTCCCATTACACATCTCCGGAGCACCCTGTCCTTCTCCCAGACAATTGATGAATATCTGCTTCCCACCAGACTGTCAGCAACAAGAGAATAAGGACCAGAGTAGGCTTGCTCCCCTGGTATCCCCAGCACCTAGCACAGGCCTGGATCTGAAGAAGTTTCTCAATAAATATTTGTTGCTGGAATGACTTCAGGAGTCTCATCTAATCTACTGGTGTAGGGTGTGCCCTTAGGCCTGGAATGAGACCAAAGCAAGCTGTCCCAGCCTCAATTGTGTTGCAGTCCGGCCATCTGGCTATCTGATTTGTGGATATGCTAACAGAGGACAGAGCTGGAAGCTCAGCATGTTTTTACACCTTCCTCTGAGCAAACTGCTCCACCCAGGAATCTCCCCATTCCCAAGGCAGGTCTGTGCTGATGGGAACTGGAGGCCTTGAGGGCAAGTTGGTAGAAACATATTTTTTTCCCCTTGGGTTCCTTTTGCCTAAATCTAGATGTACCCACCAGAATAAGAGTCCAACTACAAATAAGAATTCCTTGTGTTGTTAGTAGGCTGTGGAGCATACAAAACACCCTCGGTAATTCACATTATTTTCCTGATGTGGAAAATGAAACTGAGAGAGGTTAGGTGACAAGTCCAAGGTCACACAGTACGGATAAGGCAGGTCTTCTACAGCCAGCCAGTTTTCCTGAGACAATTACGCCAGGGGAGACAATGTGCTGCTAACCAGCAAAATATGCCAAGATTCTAGCCTTTTTCACAGTTGAGTTTTTTGGTTATTTTTTTATTCATTCACATATTCATTCCTTTGCTCAGGAGAACACAAGGTCGTCTTGCTTTCAGGAAGACCACATCCAGTACTAGAATTTTGAATCTGTGGTCCATCTGTGAATGGCTTGAGTTTATTGTATATATATATATTTGTGTTTAGGTACAAATGTTTATTTTTTGTGTAAACTTTCAAACAGTTTCATGACCCACTTGCCCTCCTCTTCCCTCCCTGAGAAAATATTTAGAACCACTGGTGTAACACATGCTACTCAGTGTAAATGGACAGCAGCCCACGTGTTCATCTGTCGGTCCTGCTTGTTTGAGTGACTAAGGTCACAGCACATCTCTGGCCCAAGTGATAAATCTGGTATCTGGACCACATGACCCATCCCAGGCACTGAGACCCTGGACAGCTCCTCTCGGCCACTTCTCTTGGAGGAGTAAACATACAGAACCACACTTACACACATGCCACACCCAGCTCTAAGACTGCTCCTGACTCCAGGGAGACACTTTCATTTTTCTTTCTGGTATTACTAACACACAATCCTGCCCATGATGGCTACATTGACTGAGAACTGTGTGGGACAAATACTGTGATGCATGTGCCCTCATCTGTTTTAAAACCCATGACAGGTCTGTGAGTTCAGGAGTTTGCCCGAGGTCACACGGCTGGGAAGAGGTGGAGTTGAATTATAAGAGGGCCTTGTGGGGACAGAGTGGGGAGGTTGAGGGAAGCTGAATGTGGTTCAGCTCTCTCAGGGATGGGGCAGTGGTCCTGAGACAGGAGAGAAGGGAGAAGGGCACAACCATTAAAAGAAAGACACAATAAATGAAGATGGGATATAAACTGGGTAGAACCAACTCGGCCCAAGATGGCAGAAGATTTGGCTTCCAGTAGACCTTGAGCCTCATTATAGGCCCACTGTAATATGTAAGCATGCCAAATGACATACGCACAGGCTCCATGACAGTTCCCAGGCTGGCGTAAAAGGCCAAAAAGTGGACAGGACCCAATTCCAGGAAATCCCCGCCCCACCTCCAAAATAGTTGGGATAATCCTCCCTCTTGTTAGCATATGAAATTACTGAGCCCATAAAGACTACCTTCTCCCACCCCACCCTTGCCTTTTGAGATGGTCCACACTCTGTCTATGGAGTGTGTATCTCCCCAAATAAAGCTACTTTCACTTTACTCTGGTTCACTCTTGAATGTTTTCCTGCTCTAAGCCAAGGACCCTCACTTGACAGGGCACATCGCAGGGACTCACCTGAGACCTGGAACACGACCATCCTCTCGCACCCCATTTTCCTACAATGATCAGGACTATTAATTCCCCACAAAAATTGATTTCTGTTGAAACCATTCCTACCTTCATTCTTTCATTCTACAACCATTTCTTGAGCATCTTCTCTGTGCCAGGTATGTGTTGGAAATTGATAGCCAGCCTCCAAGATGGCCTCAGTGGTGCCTGCCTCTTGGTGGCCACAGCCAGGGTTAGCCTGAGTGACCAGTGGTCTTGGGCAGAAGCGAAGGGACATCTCTTCCATTGCAGGTTAAAAGACTGCAGCTTCCCTCCTGGGCACTCGCTGACTCTCCTGCTCTTCCTCTTTTTGAAACCCTTGCTCTGGAGGGCAGCAATTTGCCAGGTGATGGACAGGCCTACAGGGAGGCCCACAGGGCCAGGAACTGAAGCCTCAGGCCAGCAGCCAGTGTAGACCTGAGGCCTGTCAGCAACCACAGGAGTCAGTTTGGACACAGACCCTCAGCGCCTGATCAGGCTTTGAGATGACTGCAACTTTGTGAGGACTCCTGGCTCACAGAAACTGTGTGAGATAATAAATGCTAGGGTTTTTTTTTTTTTTAACATCTTTATTGTGATATGGTTCCTGTATAGTAAACTATGTATATTTCAAATGTATGATTTAATGAATTTTGATAGATGTATATATACACCAATGAAACCACTACCACAATCAAGTTAGCTAACACTTCCATCACTCACCAAGAGGTGCAATTTTTGAATTTCCTATTCATCTCTTCCCACCCTCTTTACCCCCAGTAACCATAAGTTTGTTCTCT